ATGAGTGGTGTCAGTAGCCTCCTGTGGTATTGTCATAATGGCCAGCCGGTCCACAAGTGGACTGCCAATGACTTATTTGTTGCTTCTCCTTTGCCACTCGCTTACATTCACCTTCACTCTTCCCCTTCTGTCATTTCTAATCAGTTATTTTGTTTTGTTTTTTGTTTTTTTGTTTTGGAGATGGAGTCTTGCTGTGTTGCTGGGCTGGCTGGCCTCCAAGGCCTGGATTCTCCTGCCTCAGGCTGTTTGGTGGGGTGGGGGCTGGGGGCAGTACTGGGCATTGAACCCCAGGCTTTTGCACTGAGCTACATCCCAGCCCTGTATTTTATGATTTTATCAACAGACCCTGTGGGAGAAAGTAGGCTGTTATGCAGAACTGGGGGCTGAACCCATGGCCCTCATTGAGCTATATCCCCACCCTTCCCCCCCCATACCAGGATTCGAACTCAGGACGTTGCACTTGCAAGTATCCCCAACCTTTTTTTATTTTGAGCTAAGTTGTCCAGGCTGGGCTTGACTTTGCAGTCCTCCTGTCTCAGCCTCCCAGGACACTGGGATTATAGGTGTGCATCACTACTCCCCAGCAGGTACTGTTTGCTGGTAAAGGCTGAGGTCATCCCGGTGCTGGTGCAGGTGGCCCCGTTCCGACTCCCGGAAGTGATGCCACACACGGAGTGAGGATGTAGCAGGTGTACAGGCCCCACTGCCACTCTTGGCAGAGTGCTGTGCCACTCCACAGGCGACGGATCTCCCTAGACTTCCCCAAGATGAGGCTGTTTCCTTGGAGACAGTCATTGCCAGGGAGAGCCTGGCAGCTGGCTCCAGAGCTGCCTCCAGTCTGCCTGGAGCCTGGGTGCGGAAGTGTGGGCTTCGGGGTGGCCTTTGTCTACCACTGAGCCTTTCCGTGATGGTGCAGCAGAGCTGGGGCACGGGCACCTCTCGAGCCCTCAAGAAAGCTAAGTTTAAAAAAGAATATTTTATATTGAAAAAAATAACATTGCCGTTTGGTTTATGAAGGCGAAGGTTGGATCCTCCATGTTTAATCCCATTCCACAGATCTTGAATTCTCCCAGGTTTTTCTGGGTGCTGAGTAACCTGGGAAGGGAGGGACATTGTTGTTTGAACAGGAGGAAGGCCAAGAAAATACAGGTGGGCTCTGCGGGGTCTAGAAAGGAAGGAAAGTATAAAGGAACGTTGTTCTTATTTGTAAAGTAGGAGGGGCGATTACCTACTAAGATATAAACTGCAGAACCTGAGGTGGAGAGGAGTTTGAAACAGCTGGGAGGGCTTGGCCAGAGAGAGGCCTCCACTGCTTCTCTGTCTTGCTTAAGTCCTTGTCACAAGGAACCCTCACTCTCCTTTTTATTTTTTTCCTCGTTATGGGCACCAAACTCAGAACCTTGGCACAGCACCGCTGGCCTACATTCCCCGTCCTCCTTTTAGATTCTTTAAGGGAAAATACATTACAAATAATCAGCCCTCTGTATCCCGAAACCATGTAGTGTAATAACCACTTCTGGCACAACCGTGGCACCGGGGACTGGAAGTGATGTAGGAGCACAGGCGTACACCACCCACCTCACACAAGGGACTGGTGAGACCCCGGCAGGTCCTGGAACAGCCCCCAGATCCAGGGTGGGGGCGACTGCAGTACAGGGTGCCCGAGCCAAACACACACTCTTTCTCCTTTACAGACTACCTGTTTAACTTTGCAAGTGCCGCCACCAAAAAGATAACTGAATCAGTCGCTGAAACAGCGCAGACGATAAAGAAATCTGTGGAAGAAGGAAAAATAGATGACATCATTGATAAGGTAAATGTAAATATCTTTTGGGGGTGAAAACAAAGAATTAAGGTGTGTTCTGTATAAGTAACTCTCTTTGATGAGTGTGATCGTTATCGTACTGCAAACATGGACTTTAAAAAGTAAATATTAATATCTTTTGGGAGTAAAAATTTAAGAAATTTACTAGCAACTAATATAATCATCTGTGCTTGTGAATGTCTTAAAACTCAAGTAGGATAGCATATAATTCTGATTCTTTTTTAAATTCTGATTTTTAAAATATTTTTTTTGTGTGTGGTACTGGAGCTCAAACCCCAAGGTGCTCTGCCACTGAGCTACAGGCGTAGCCTATATAAAATTTTTATTTTGAGACAGAATCTCACCAAGTTGCCCAGGCTGACCTTGAATTTCTGATCCTCCTGCCTCAGCCTTCTGAATAACTGGGATAACAGGTGTGCAATACCACCCTCGACTCATTTCTTTCAGTGCTAAAGTTCAGGCCTAGCCGGGCATCCCAGCACTTGGGAGGCTGAGGCAGGAGGATCGCTGTGAATTCGAGACCAGCCTCGGCTACATAGTGAGTTCCAGGTCAGTCTCAACTACATAGCGAAGACCCTGTCTCAAAAAAACAAAATAATGCTGGGGATTTAGCTCAATGGTTCTGGCGCCTGCCTTGCAAACGCAAGGCCCTGAGTTCGATCCCCAGTACCTTAAAAAAAAAACAAAAACTAACTAAATAAATAAAGTGCAGGCCTAGGGAATTTCATTGATGCTGATAATTATTTGAACTAAAGAGGGCATCAAGGACCGGGGATTTAGCTCATTGGTTCTGCTGCCTGCCTTGCAAGCACAAAGTCCTGAGTTTGATCCCTGGTACCAAAAAAAAAAAACAAAAAAAAAAGTCATCAAATAGGCCTCAGATATATTGTTATTTAGATATGTTTGTTGTGTGTACCCTTATTGGAAAGAGATTTGGCCTGTCTTTTATTGTTTTATGAACTAATACAACAGTGTAGCTTTCCACCCATTTTATTTTTGTATTTAAAGGATGTGCCATAAAAAAGGTTATATACTTACAATTCAAAAATATCAAGATGGACGTGGTGGTGCACACCTATAATGCCAACACTTGGGAGGCTGAAGCAGGAGGATCTCTGTGAGTTCAAGACCAGCCTGGGCTACATAGTGAGTTCCAGGTCAGTCTCAACTACATAGTGAGACCCTGTCTGAAAAAACAACAAAAACTAAAAAACATATTGAAGGATCTCTCTTATTTAGAAAATGGAAACATATCAGTTTTAGCCTTTTTATTGAAAGAAAATGAATAAAGTATCCGAAATAGACTTTAAAAACCATACAGTAGACATTTCAAAGTAATTTGAGTCTTTCGTGTATTTTTTTGAACAGACAATTATAGGAGACTTTCAGAAGGAACAGAAAAAGTTTGTTGAGGAACAACATACAAAGAAGTCAGGTATGGGACCAGTTTGGTTTTTTTGTTGATATTTTTGTTTTTGATACTGGTGATTGAACTCAGGACAGGTACCGGTATGTTTTGTTTTGTTTTGTTTTGTTTTATTTTATTTATTTATTTATTTTGGTACCGGGGATCGAACTTGGGTCCTTGCACTTCCAAGGCAAATGGCGTCACCACTGCACTAAATCCCCGGCCCAGTATGTTTTAATTAACCTGCCACATTTTGTTGAGAAACTATTGGGTACTGGACCCACATGAAGGCCCTAAAAATACAGAGATAACCACTTCTTGGAGCCTCGGGGTATATATAGCTCAGTGGCAGACCACTTGCCCTCCAAATACCAGACCCCCCAAAGGATGTACATGACATCTACCCTCCTTTGGGTAGCACAGAGACTAGTTGGGGAGATAAACCCATATACCTTTAGGGTTTAAAGAAAGGGAGTGAAGCTTGCCGTGGTGGTGCACACCTGGAATGCCAGCACTCAGGAGGCTGAGGCAGAAGGATCACTCTGCGTTCAAGGCCAGCCTGAACTACATAGACTGACCCTATCTTGGAAAACAAACACAAAAAGATATTAAAAATAAAAAGTCACTGCCCATAAACCCACAAGGAAAGCCAGCTAGGAGAGAAAAGTGACAGCAGGCCAGAGGGGAGAATTTCCAGGAGAGCCCAGTGGCAGTGTGAGCCTGCCCATGAGGCCCGGTCTTAGTGACCATGAGAAGAGGCTGAGACGGAGCTCAGTACCCTGCCTGCACATGTGCAAGGCCCTGCCTTTGTCCCTGTGGTGGCCACAGTGATCCTGTGAAGTAAGGAGCCTGGCCTTAGGACAGAGCTGAGGAGCTTCCTTGCTGGGAAGGTACTGGTCACCCTGAGAGTTGCGTCAAAAGAGCAGGTGGCAAGTGGTTTCCTCCTCACCAGTACCTCCTGAGCGTAAGGGGTGCTGAGAGAGGCGACCCACCCCATTCCCAGGATGGGCTGCCGCGTGTGGTCTGGCATGGCACTACGGCCCCCAGCGCGCAGGCTTCGTGTGCGACATCCTGCTGACTCGAGCATTCAGCTCCCGCTCCTCGAGGATGAGATTCCAGCCCTGTTTTATTGAGACAGGGTCTCACTATGTAGCCAGGCTGGCCTCAAACTCGCAGCCGTCCTCCTGCCTCAGCCTCCCGAGTGCTGAGATTACTGGCCTGGGCCACTATGTCCAGCTTTACCCTTCTTATTTATTGCTTCTCCTTTGCCACTCGCTTACATTCACCTTCACTCTTCCCCTTCTGTCATTTCTAATCAGTTATTTTGTTTTGTTTTTTGTTTTTTTGTTTTGGAGATGGAGTCTTGCTGTGTTGCTGGGCTGGCTGGCCTCCAAGGCCTGGATTCTCCTGCCTCAGGCTGTTTGGTGGGGTGGGGGCTGGGGGCAGTACTGGGCATTGAACCCAAGGCTTTTGCACTGAGCTACATCCCAGCCCTGTATTTTATGATTTGAAACAGGGTCTTCTTACGTTGCCCAAGCTGGGCTCAAACTTGTGATTCTCCTGCCTCAGCCTCCCATCTTGCCGAGATCACAGTGTGTCCCACCGCCCCCAACACACTCACAAGCCCCTTTTTTTCATAGACTCCACTGCATTTGAACTTTATCTGCTATGTCCTTGTGACTATATTCAGATTATGCATTCTTGACCAGAGTGCCACAGAGGTGACGACGTACCCATGTCAGGATGTCATGTGTGGAGGCCCTTGTGTCCTTCCCCTCTTTGTTGGTGCTCTTGCTGTTGATCACTCAGTTAAGGTCCAGTTTCTCTGCTGTCATTCGAGTAGGGTCATTGGCGGTCCATATGTGGAACTTAGCGGTAAATAACTGTCTTCAGTGGTCTTGTAGAAACTGTTATTCCCTGAAAGCAGAGAGCACAGCGCAATCATTGTAACAGCTTTTTCTCCTTTCTTCTTTGCCTTTGAAAACTCTAGAAGCAGCTGTGCCCCCATGGGTTGACAGTCACGACGAGGAAACCATTCAGCAGCAAATCCTGGCCTTATCAGCTGTGAGTACCCACAGAGCCCTGGGTGAGCACGCTGGCCCCATCACGCATGTGTCTGTCATTAGAACCTGACCTGTGTGCTTCTGTACCAGTTCTGAAGCATTTGGACGTGTTAACTTCACTTTCTGGTGTTCGCTTTTGGGTTTTTTGTTTGTTTGTTTTTATTTTTTGGTACTGAGGATCAAACTTGGGACCTCGCACTTGCGAGGCAGGCCGCACCATCACTGAGCTAAATCCCCAGCCCTGGTATTTGCTTTATTGTGGTGTTGGGGATCAAACACAGGGCCTTATGCATGTTAGGCAAGTGCCCTAGCCCTGAGCTATGCCCCTAACCCTCTTTACTACAGGATTTCCAATTAGTTTATCCTTAAGTTCTTTGTCCTTTTTCTTTTGATTTTTATTAGCACATCTTTGCAGCAGCCAGTGATTACATTCATCATGAGGAGTCGGCACATGTACATAAATTCTTTTTTCATAATGTGAAAGGATAGCCTACTATGTGAAATAGTTCTGTAACCCTGAAAAGGATTCTTTCACAGTACTGAGATAATCTTAGAGATATGCTGTCATGTGGAGTTTCTAGGCAGACTTCTGATTCTGTGAGTGAAATGATTACCTTCTATATTTTCTCTTCACGTACATGTATTTGTAGCCGGGTATGATAGCACACACCTGTAATTCCAGCACTGGGAGACTGAGGCAGGAGGATCACAAATTTAAGTGGGCAGGTTAATGGCATAGTGAGACCCTGTCTGAAGATCTCCAGACCTAGCCAGGTGTGGTGGTGCACGCCTGTAATTGCAGCACTCAGAAGGCTGAAGCAGGAGGACTGCTGCAAGTTGGAGCCAGCCTGACCTACATAGCAAGACGCTATCTCAAAAAAAATAGAGAACAAAACAAAACCAAAACCAAAACAACAGATTTACAAACCCGAGAAGAGTTGGGATGTAGCTCAGTACAAAGGCCCTAGCTTCAGTCCCCAGTACTGGGGGAAAACAACAGCAAAATTTCTGCATTTGTTGGCAACCGGAAGTGACGCACAGTTTCATGTGTTAGTCCACAAAACCACAGAGGAAGTGTAGTGAAGCCAGGGAGCTCTTGTGTGGACCCAGACCCTTTGTTCCCACTGCTCAGCCAGGTGAGGGGACCGAGACCCTGCGATGTTGTGCTCACTGCTTATGCGCCCCCCCCACACCAGCTGTGTGCTTGCATGGCTCCGTGACTGGATCTTTATACCTTTAGCAGTGCTCCTCCAACTGTTGCTTTTAACCCACTCCTTTTCCCTCCCTTCCTTCCTCCTCCTTTTGGCAGAGGAGGCTCCTGCATGGTAGGTTTGCCCTCTACCACCAAGTGGATTCCCCTGATTCAGTACAAACCTAGATGTCTTCCCTGAGTCCATGCCTTGACCCCACTCCAGAGAAAAAAAAAAAATTTTTTTTTTCATGTTTTGGAACAGGGTCTCACTGGCCTTGCAATCATGGCAGTCCTCCTGCCTCAGCCTCCCTAGTGCTGGGATTACAGGCCTGCACCACCAGGCCTAGCTTCAGAATTCTTTCTGGGAGGCTAGAATCTATCCAAAGGACAACTGGAATGCGCATGCGTCGGTAAATTCTGGTTCACTGGCTTAGCCATTGGAGCTAGAGAATCCTTCATGACTAAGTGAGGAGAAGCAAGGCCCCCGATCACAGTGGACAGAGCACCTTCCTGAGTGTACGCAGCTGGATGTGCGGAGTGCCACAAGTGTGCCAGAGAAGCCAGTACAATGTCTGCACTCACCCTAAGCCAGAGTGCTCTGTAGGTGGGGGCGTCCCGACTCCATGCTTTTCTAGGGTGATTTGGATTAAAATGAGTGCATATCATTTATAAATAAAGATCTTTTAGGGCCTGGGGATTTAGCTCAGTAGTTCCAGCGCCTGCCTTGCAAGCACAAGGACCTGAGTTCAATCCCCAGTACCAAAAAAACGGATCTTTTAGAAACAAAATGGAGTAGGGCTGGGGCTACAGCTCAGAGGTACAGCACTTGGGGAGCATGTAAAAAGCCCTGGGTTTGATCCCCAGCAGCACCAAAAGAAGGGGGTGGTAATTGTGAGGTCCAAAAGAAAAACTTTTTATCCTGGGTGTGGTGGTATACACCTGTAATCTCAGCACTCAGGAGGCTGAGGCAAAAGGATTGCTTTTTTTTTTTTGGTACCAGGGATCTAACTCAGGACCTTGTGCTTGCGAGGCAGGCAGCAGAACCTCTAAGCTAAATTCCTGGCCCTCCAAAAGGATTGCTTTGAGTTTGAGGCCAGCCTGGGCTACATAGCCAGACCTTGCCTCACAAAACCAAAAACAAAGAAAAGCAGCCTTTACTCTGCTTATTATGCTCAAGTAGGGTGGTCGGGGATGCCCCTATACATGCCAGTCAGCCAGGGTCAGGTCCTTTCTCAGGAACTCAGTCACCCTGGTGCAGAGTAAGCGTGGTCACTGTGGGGTCCGGTCATGTGCAAAGCTGGCTGACAGGAGAAATGCAGACCCTTTCCCAGCTCCTGAGGGCTGGGCACTGAGCATGCGCATTCTCTCTCACTCCCATGACAGAGCCTGGCATTTTATCCATAGCAGTCATGGAGGAGCAGATGTCTTTTTTTTCTCTCTCTCTCTCTCCCCTCCCTCCCCTTCTCTCCCTGTTCTGGTTTTTTGAGGTAGAGTCCTCATAAAACATAATTCAGCCTGGCCTTGAACTCACTGTGTAGTCAGGTTGGCTGCCCTCAAATTTTTGGTGATCCTCCTGCCTCAGCCTCCTGAATACAGGGATTATAGGTATGTATCACACACCCGGTACTTTTTTTTTTTAGATGGCATCTTACTGTGTTGCCTAAGCTGGTCTCAAACTTATGGGCTCAAAGATTCCCTCCTGCCTCTGTCTCAAAGTGCTGGGCCTGCAGGAGGGACTTGAGGTTTGAATATACCGACCCTTTTTGTCAGTTTGTTAGCCATGTAATGGATCAGGGATTCTGTGAGACTTGGTTTCAGGTGTCCTAAGCCTGCATTCAGCAGCAAGAAGAATCCACTCAGTATTATTCAGATGTGTTTAAATGGGATTGGTTCCTGGAAGGTGGAAAGAGAAGAAGGCTCCGGTTGTGTTCCTCTCTTCCACCCCTGCTGCAGCCCTCCCAGTATGCCTTCCATCTCAGAACCCTGCAGCAAGAGGCTGGGGTGCTGCCCAGTGAGAGGGCATGGGCTCAGAATGCAGGAGCCCCATTACCAAACGGACAGATGGGTAGATGGATAGATGGAAGATGGACAGATGGATGGGTGGATGGACAGACGGAATGATTGATGGATGGACGAATGGATGGACAGACGGATGGCTGGATGGACTGACAGGTGGATGGATGGGTGGTGGATGGAGGGATAGATATATGGATTGGATGGACAGATGTGTGGACGGATGGATGGACAGGTGGGTAGATGGAGAGATGGATGGGTGGACAGATGGATGGATTGATAGGTGTATGGATGGATGGATGGATGGAAGGATGGGTGGACGGACAGATGTGTGGATGGACAGACAGATGGCCAAATGCATGGACAGGTGAACAGACAGATGTTTGGACGTATGGACAATGGACAGATGGATGAATGGTTGGACAGAGGATGGGACAGATGAACAGATGTGTGGACGAACAGAGAGACGGATGGATGGATAGGGTGGATAAAGGAACAGACAGATGGATGGCCAGAGGAACCGATAGATAGATGGATGGAAGGACGGACAGACAGGTTGACAGACAGACTGATATGTGGATGGATGGGCGGACATAGTGTGGACAGACAGACAGATGGTGGGATGGACGAACAGATGTGTGGACAAACAGAAGAATGGATGGACAAACAGAAGGGTGGATAGGCAGATAGATGGGTGGCTGGACAGAGGGACAGACTAATGGACAGGTGGAGGGATGGACAGATCGACAGATGGGTGGATGGATGGGCCAGTGGACAGATGGATGGATGGACAGACAAATGTGTGGATGGATGGATCGATATACAGATGTATAGATGTATGGATAGGCAGTTGGATGGATGGATGGATGGTGGGATGGACTAACAGATGTATGGATGTATGGAGGGGCGGACAGACAGAGGAACGGGCGGATGGGTGGATGGGTAGTTGGACATTTAGAGGGACAGACTGACAGATGGGTGGACGGACGAATGGGTTGATGAACAGATGGACAGGTATACGGATGTATGAACAGACGGATGGATGGACAGATGTGTGGATGGATGTGTTGATGGACAAGTGGAGAGGAAGATGGATGGCTATGTGGACAGAGGATGGGTTGATGAATAGACGGATGGATGGACAAATGGATAGATGGATGGATGGGTGGACGGATGGACAGGTGGACAGACAGATGTGTGGGCAGGTGAGTGGGTTGATGGGCAGATGGGTGGACATAGGGATGGATGGGTGGATGGACAGAAGGACAGACAGATGGAGGGATGGACACAGGGATGGATGGATGGATGAAGGGATAGATGGAGGGATGGACAGATGGGTGAACAGATGGATGTATGGACAGATGAACAGACCGGTGGACAGATGGATGGATGGATGGACAGACAGACGAATACACGGATGGATGATTGGAGAGAGGGACGAATGCGTAGATGAACAGACGGATGGATGGATGGGTAGACGGACGGATATGTGGATAGATGGATGGGTGGACAGACAGTTGGACAAGTGGGTGGATGGATAGATGGACAGACAGATGGGTTGATGATGGGTGGACAGATGGATGGGTTGATCAACAGATGGACAGACAGGTGGAAGAATGGATGGACAGACAGGGATGGACTGATGGACAAATGGACGGATGGATGGGTGGATGGATGGATGGATGGGTTGATGGATGGAAAGACAGATGGGTGTATGGACAGATGGACAAGCAGATGGATGGTTGGACTGACATGTGGACAGATGGATGTGTGGATGGACAAATGGGTGGACAGAGATAGATGGATGAATGGACAGACAGGTAGATGGACAGATGGATGGGTGGAAGGATGGATGGATGGGTGGATGGTCAGACAGATGGATGGACAGACTGGTGGGTGGAAGGATGGACTGATGGACAGACGGATGGATGGATGGATGTGTGGGTGAATAGATGGATGGATGGATAGATGGACAGACAGACGGATAAATGGGTTGATTGATGGATGGGAGGATAGATGGACAGATGGATGGAGGAATGGACGGATGGATGGATGGATGGATAGATGGACTGATGAATGGTTGGACAGAAAGATGAGTGGACGGATGGATGGATGGGTGGATGGATGGACAGACAGATGGAAGGATCAATGAATGGACAGGTGGGTGGACAGATGGAAGGGTGGATGAATGGATGGGTGGAGGGGTGGACAGACTGACAGATGGGTGCCCGGATGGATGGACCGACGGATAGATGGATGGATGGATGGTTGGATGAAACTTGCAGGAGGCACCAAGCCTGCAAGGGTGATGTTGAAAGGATTGTGAGCTGGGCATGGTGGTGCATACTGAAATCCTAGCACCTGGGAAGCTGAGGCAGGAGGATTGTCGCAAGTTTGCGGCCAGCCTGGGCTATATTGAGACCCTGTCTCAAAAAACCAAGAGGGAGAGCCGGGCGTGGTGGTGCATGCCTGTCATCCCAGCACTTGGGAGGCTGAGGCAGGAGGATCGCTGTGAGTTTGAGACCAGCCTGGGCTACATAGTGAGTTCCAGGTCAGTCTCAACTACATAGTGAGACCCTGTCTCAAAAAAAAAAAAAAGAGGGAAAAAAGATCATGTTAAAAAAATTGGAAGCGCTAACTTTGAAGTTAGTCAGCCCACGGAGCAGGCTCTCAAAAAGGCTTCTTAGGAGAACTGTATGTTGGTCTCCATCATGGGCCCAGGCCCTTAGTGCAGGGACTGAGGCTGAGGAGTGCAGTAGAGTTGATTGGCAGAGCCTGGGCCTGAGTCTACGAGGTGGGGCCAAGAGCACAGTCTCTGCAGACTTAGAAATGAAGTAGAGTAAGGAGCACTCTGGGAGGCTGAGGCAGGAGGATCACAAGTGTGGGACCAGCCTGGGCAACATTAGTGATTTAGCAAGAGCATCTCAAAAACAAAAAGTACAAAAAGGATTGGGGATGTAGCTTGGTACACAGGCTATGTATTCAACCTCCGGTACTGGAAAGAGAGTTTGGGCTCAGTGCTCCTGGAGGTTTTATCCATTCCTTTGGAGGCAGTTGGCAGTGTTACTGTACCTGAAGGTACCCACTAGCACAGACGCATGTTTGTATGGTTTCAGACTCTACTCTGAGCCAGTCGCGTGCTTGGGCTGCCAAGCCCACGGAGGCTGCACGCAGTGAGTGTGCGGAAACGCCCCCGGCCGGCGGCTCTTGCACTCCTCAGCGGAAAGCTACCGCAGACAGAATCCAGCACCTGTCCCATCTGGCTGTGCCATGACCTATGGATTCCATTTTGTGCTCTTCCCTTCCATGACCTGTGAATTGCATTTCGTTCTCTTCCCTTATCTCTCCCTGCTCGTCAAAGGACAAGAGGAATTTCCTTCGCGACCCTCCGGCTGGTGTGCAGTTTCACTTTGACTTTGATCAGATGTCCCCCGTCGCCTTGGTCATGCTGCGAGAGGACGAGCTGCTGAGCAAGATGCGCTTTGCTCTGGTTCCTAAACTGTAAGTGTGCGCATGTGCTCCTGACAGTGGCATCTGGACCCCAGGCCTTGACTGTGTGCCCATTGTCAGAGAACATTCATCAAGGTAGCTGTGGGCGACAGGGTGGAGCACTGGGGCCGGGAAGAGCTGTAAGCCAGTAGAACTGCCCATCTGCCCATCTGCCCAAAAGCACAAGGCGGGGGCCTTTACTTTTTTGGGAGAAAAGGACTTTGCCTTTGGAGGCTGAGGCAGGAAGATCGCAAGTTGAGTTAAGCCTGGGCAATTAGTGAGATCCTATCTCCACATAAAAAGGGCTGAGGATATAGCTCAGTGAGAAGGCCCTGGATTAATTACCAGTGCTGCCAAAGGAAAAAAAAAGTACCATCTCTTTCTTTGCTGCGTTTGTACACACAGCCCTAGGAATTGACCTCTGTCTGTTTGTCTGAAGCTCTACTGTGGAAACCCTTGGCAGTTGTGCCCATTCTGTGGACAGACCCCAGAGAAGAGTCCTATGGCTTCCTCTCTGTGGCTCCATCAAGTCCAAGGCCGCTGGTATCACCGGGCCGCGCCAGGCTCTGTGCTGTGACTCTGTGTCAGGCCCATCAGGAGACCTGGGTTGCCGTAGCCTGTGGCCCAGGATGCTTCTGGGAGGAATGTGGCAGTCACAGTTTTGATTCCTATTCTCTACCTCCTCTTTGTGCTGACAGCAAGTGTAGATTTCTGAAAGCTTTGGAGCATTAGTATTTGGTGATTAGTGTTTCTGGTTTGTCACAGGTTGTGTACTTTAACATAGTTCCGGTTTCTGACTGCTAATTTTGGTAAGAAGGATTTAGAAATTATGGTTAGCATACTATCAGAAATGCTTACTGAAGTATTATGGATGAAGCCAGGTGTGGTGGCGCACACCTGTAATGTCAACACCCAGGAGGCTGAGGCAGGAGGATCACCATGAGTTCGAAACCAGCCTGGGCCACATAGTTCAAGGCCAGCCTGAACTATACAGCAAGACCCTGTTTCAAAAAATAAAGAGGAAGCCGGGCATGGTGGCGCACGCCTGTAATCCCAGCACTCGGGAGGCTGAGGCAGGAGGATCGCTGTGAGTTCGAGACCAGCCTGGGCTACATAGTGAGTTCCAGGTCAGTCTCAACTACATAGTGAGACCCTGTCTCAAAAAACCAAAAACAAAAAATAAGGAGGATCGCTGGGAGTTCGAGACCAGCCTGGGCTACATAGTGTTCCAGGTCAGTCTCAACTACATAGTGAGACCCTGTCTCAAAAAACCAAAAACAAAAAATAAAGAGGGCCTCAGTGGTTCTGCTGCCTACTTCGCAAGCCCAAGGACCCCAAGATCCAAGCCCAGGGTCGAGTTTGATCCCTGGTACCAAAAAATAAATAAAAGAAAGAAAGAAAGATAGGTACATAGATAGATTATTATTGATGAAAGGATGTGATGGCAGGTGTCTCTTTAAACGTTCCACCCCTACCCAAAGAAAAGCAGGTGTGTAAGGGACAGGAATATGTTGGTAATTGTGAAAGTTAGGTCACAGTTACATGGGGTTCATGTTTTTTGGGTTTTTTTTTTTTTTT